GATATGCCAGAAGATATACCAGAAGATATGCCAGATAGAATGCCAGAAGATATGTCAGAATATATGCCAGAAGATATGCCAGATAGAATGCCAGAAGATATGTCAGATAGAATGCCAGAAGATATGCCAGATAGAATGCCAGAAGATTTGCCAGATAGAATGCCAGAAGATATGTCAGATAGAATGCCAGAAGATTTGCCAGTAAGAAAATGTAAAAATGTCACGGTGGGATCACACGAAGTAAAGTATTTTTTTCCATAATGCATTTGGCTATGAATACAAGTTGAAAAAATCGAATATGGCAATTCATTTGGCCACCCCAATCCAAGGATAACACCAAATTGGGATCCTTCTAATCAACATCCGGAATCTCATACTTCTTGGTTCTCTTCCTGCTAAGCGGAGTTTTCTCTCCATCTGCCCTGGCCGACTTGGAGGCTCGCTTTCGGGGCTGCGCTGGCTCGCCCTTATCAGCATTTGCCCCACAATCCGCGCTGGTTTTTTTCCGGGGTCCCCTCGGCTTGAAGCCAGGCTGGCGGCACGTTTTGCAACCAAGCTTTGCTTGGCGGCATCGGGAACACCCATACTCTTGCCCATCATCGGTATTGATTGGTGGTCTGCCCCGTCTGCCCCCAGAACCTTTCCCCTTGGTGGACTCTTCGTTTTTGTCATCTTTCAATCCTTTCGTTTTCTTTCGTTTCGACCCTGGGGTATCTCCCTTGATGGTACCCATATCTTGCTTGGACTTGCTTTTCCTGAGCCGTCTTGTCTTGGATCCCTGCTCCTTGACTTTTTTTTGGTTGGATTTCGGGGATGCCTTTGCCTTTGCCCCTGGTTTTCTCCCCCTCTTCGCTGGTGCTTTCTGCTGTCGCAAATGGGTTTGCTCTTCCGGCGTCACAGTCAACGGCACCTGCATGGTGGGCAAATGATATTACCCGGACCCAGGATCAAAGAAATGGTGTACTTTGAAAACAGCAATATATAACTTTCCGTTTTTGACCCAACATGCCTGTGAAGTCTTTGCAGGAAAATTGATTTGGGGCATCTCCGTGGTATCTTCAAGTGGCTGGGTTTCAACCTCTCAGGAAGGAATCGTGATTCTACCAGGGGACTTTGATTAGACATGGTTGGAGAAATGATAAATCAGTGATAACGCTATCGGCATATAATATATATATATAATATAATATATTCAAATCAGCGAATTTTTTACTTGGGAATCTTGGGAAAGCAGATGGTCTTTCCTATTTAGAAACATATATGTTCTTTGGACACGGAGATTCGTAGAGAATATAGATGGATGATGGTTTGGAGGCCCGGTGTCCTGGTCTGGGTTCACGCTTGGCGCAGGTGCCGTCTTGGACCTCAAGCGCTTCAACACGGCTTGCTCAGGACGGGTGGGTTCAGCCACCGGTGGCGCCGGCGAGTCAATGATGTCGATAACTTCATCACCTCACGGCAGGCATCTAGAGACCCGAAGACAGAAATTTTAACAAGCGTCCCAACTGATTTTGAGGCTCTAATTATGAAAAGGATTTCGTTCAAATCCATTTGAAAGATTTAGATTCTCCTATAGGTGGTTTTAAGGGAGGAGTCAAAAGGTGTAGGAACACCATCATGGATGGCAACTTCAAATGATTTGAGATCACCATTCAAGCATTGATATAAGATTCTCAAACCAAGGCACACGGAACTGCACCCAACGGGTTCCCGTCTTGGTCGAAACCAAGGGACCTTGGTGGAAGTAGATTGTGGGGGAGTCGCCCAAGAGGTGTTCCGCCCACAAAGGCAAATTTGGGGGGTGAAGTATACCGACCCGCTATCCAATAGGATTTAATTCGATTCGTCCTGGTAAAATTGGTTACGAACGTATGGGCTTGTTATTTCATATTATATATATGTTTTTCTTGCTGGTTTGGAACCAAACCCCAGGAAGGTACTCCACAAACAAAAAATCTTATATAAAGCAAATATCATGGTACTTCAACTCGTTTTGCAATTCTTCGATCTCCACCTTAAGCAAATCTGTTCGTGCCCGCTCTTTGGTCCTCCCTGAGCCTGAAGATGGTAATGACTTCTTCATTTTGGGCTCCGCTTTGCCCGCTCTATGGTTGTCAGTGGAAGGTTCAATCTCACTTTCACTTTCGGAACCCTCACCATCATCACACTCCTCGTCCTCTTCTGGGTCACTGTCGGGTGAAGCCTCAGCAGGTTGAACCTGGTACTTCTCCAAGTGCGACTTTTTCTTCAGCTGCTTCACAAGGTGGAACAGTTTGCGAACATTCGGGTCCTTGGCTGGGCATGACCAGCAGTGAAAAATCGAAAGATCATGTAAGGATTGGGGCTGGATGGAAAGCACTTGGGACCAACATCATATTGTATCATTATCATGCATGTATATGCATATGTATGTATATATATATGTATGTATGTATGTACATGTATATGTAAATGCATATTGTGTATAAATGTAAACAGGCATGTATATACATATATGTGTGTGTATGTATGTATGTATGCATGCATGCATGCATGCATGTATGTATGTATGTATGTAATGTAATTTAATGTCAGTATGTATGTATGTATGTAAGTATGTATGTATGTATGTACGTACGTATGTATGTATGTATGTATGTATGTATGTGTTTGTGTGTTTGATTGTTTGTTTGTATTTATGTATGGATGCATGCATGTATGCATGTATGCATGTATATGTATATGTATATGTACATGTACATGTACATGTATATGTATATGTGTATGCATGCATGTATGTAAGAATGTATCTCATGTATGCATGGATGCATGCATGCATGCATGTATGTAAACCCATTCAAATAACATAACGTAAGTACAGCTAGGGGTCACGTGGTCGCTGACCTCTCCTCTCTGCATCCCTTTGCCGTTGCCTGCAGAAAGATGCTAGTTGCCTCACATTCCAACCATCCCGGTAAGCCTCCTTGGACTTCTCTGGTACGTACGGGATCTTGGCATACAAAGCGGTGACCTTGCAGGGTAGTGACCAGTAGTAAATCTTCAAAAACTTTCACCTTCCACCATAAAACGACACTGCCACCCCCCCATGGTTTGTGCGATCTCTTGAAAATTATACACATATATGATATAGTCAAACCTCCAGTATACTACCGAGGCTTCCATCCCCATTATAAAAAAATAATTTGCCATGGGTGACCGATGGTGTTTCTAGTAACTTAGTAACCATGGTAATTATATATGATAAGGACAGAGAGAGATATACATATATGTATATATATATATATTTGCCGAATTCCGATTTCCCGTTCTAACCGAACCACCTCTCGCTGCATGAACTTGATGCTGGCAACCTTCAACCCTATGGTGGTGAAGAGGGCAGATAGCACCTCATGGTTGTACCCCAATGACTTTGTAGACAACACAATCTCAGCATCATCCTCATCCTGGGGAAATCGAAGCCATGGCTTTCCTTTTCGAAAACGGTCACGAACACGGCCAATCCTCTCCCAGAGGGGCGCTAAAAGAAAAGTCTTGCGACCCTTTGCCTTTCCCATCAGCAGGAATGATGGGATCCCTGAACCAAATGCTATGAAACTGTAGGCATACAAGTGTTGTGGATATCATGGGTTGCAAGTCCACTGATAAGCCCAAAACTAAAGGGGTGGAAGTTGCACGGGTGCCCAAACTGAAGCGGTGACCAGCCAGGATCACCCCCTACGACCTGGCCTTCTTCATCGAAGTGTGCCACTCGTCCCAAATCCTTGGAGCCGATAATGCTGTTTTTATTCTTGTCGGGGATAATGCTGTTTTTATTCTTGTCGGCCATCCATTCAACAAAAAAGAGGGGCAACAGTTATCAGCAGTATGATAAGCACGATGGCTTCCAAGACCCTATTGGTGACAATTAAAGTGGAGAGGGAGAGAGAGAGAGAGATATATATATAATATAATCGATTCCAACCCTCGTGGGTTTCCATTTACCTTATTATGGGTCAGAGCAACCTCACTAAAGAAACTTTTCCAAACGAAGACCAGATGTTCAAACATGGCTTGGGGTTCTGCATGCCATGCAACCATAAACCAAAAGCATGTAACAACATCGGACTGCACCGATGTCACAAAAAGGAATCGTTCACCCCCAGCTAAATTAGTGATCACAATAATGGAAAGAGAACCAAACCCGCGAGCCAGAAAGGCCAAGGCGCACCAGGAACATAAGAACGCATAGAAGACCTCAGAACCTTGGGCAAGCAAGCCAATGCAATAGCCTATGCATGGGGTGAATCAAAGCGTCTTTATGTGGATATGATGCCGGGCTGGCGCCAAGGGATTCGGGGTACCCTCCATAGAAACCACTTATAGTGCTTGCAAGGAGCCACCCATCATCCAAGAAAATGTGGGAAAAACCATGGCCCAGCCATCGCAGACCTGCCCACGGTCTTGCAAAAGTTCCACACCCGGAAAGGCCAGCCACAAGGCAAAAACACAGAGGCAACCATGTGACCACTCTTTCTTGGTTGTTTAATCTGGGATGATTTTGGTGTCATGTTACGAGTCATGTTGTCACCTTTTCCCAGCCAGACCTTGCCTCCACCACGGTGGCCAAGGTCAAAGGGTGAGCAGCTCTTGAGGCGGCAGGTGGATCGAGCATAATCTTCAGAACAGAGGCATGATCATACCCCCTGTGAGGCTTGTGTATTCATGTGTTACCCAATTGAAGCATTATGCTCGATATAGTGATGTTATGACGACGCTTCTGATGGCAAAAAGGGGAAAGTCGCGGGTTTCCAATAAAGTTATATAGAATTTATAAGGGCCTTTAAAAGTCGCCTAAATTCTTGGCAACTTTGCCAAAGGCGTTTGGTTTTCAGAAGTCGTTATAAAATCATGGCAACTTTGGATCTCAAGGTAATTCGGAAAACATTGGGAAACAAATCAATGAAACCAGGTTAATTCCCATAGTTTCGCCGTTTCGCCATTCCGTCATTAATCAAATATCATTAACTAAATATATAAATCGTATTAAATCGCCAAACTAAATAAATCACAGCAGTAAAACTGAATAAAACTCGCAAGCATAGGGACGATGTGACTTGCAAGGCCCAAGTTGTCGTGAAGACATTTTCTCGCAAATCTCGGACGACGGTCTGCGACACCTCCGTACGCAGGAAATCTTCAAAGGCTTGGGTGCTACCGAACCAGATGGCCACACACTGATTCAACACCTCAGTTGGTTAGCCACTAGCCAACCTTGGTACATCTGGACGTGAACCAAAAAGAAGGAACCATGACTATTATAGATGATATTAGTACTACGTGCACACTAGTAACATAGTAGGTGAAAATGCCGGAGATAAACAGAACAGAACAGAATGATGTTTTAAACTGAATTCAACAGATGCCATCACGCTGTTTACCTGACAACATTGAACTTGAAGCTAGTCACGTCTTGTAGCAAGCAGCAATCATGGCACAAAAAACATGTATTAAATTAAAGGACCGGATAACCCCACAAGGCAACTTCTTCCAATAATGAGCGCCAAAGGTTGTAGCAGGGACGGAGAAGGAAGGAAAGGCAAAGGAGGTGGTGAAGGATCGAATCGAAAAGTTAAAAAAGTTGTGTGTGACAAAGTGGAATGTGAAAGATGGTGTGTGACAAAGAAAGATGGTGTGTGTGTGTACCATCTGAACAGATGTAAAACTTCTTATTGGTTTTCACTACTTTGCAGGGGGACTGGAGCCGATTTGCCTATCCAGTCCAACGAAGCTATGGCATTTCGGTGGATGAGTGGTCTGATCAACCACTTGTACCTGCAAAACTCAGTTTGAACTGTTGACCAAGCTGTTACACTGCGTTGTTTCGACTCTACACGGTTGCCACAATCTGTATTGCATGCATCAGAACCTTCCTCAGATTTTCGCCGAAACCATATCGCCGACAGTATTATGATTTTTTGATATATTTTCGCCGAGATCATGTCGCCGATGAACAATGGGTCATTTTGGGAAACAATCGCCGAAACATTATTTGGGATTTCAACATGCTGGTCATCACTCTATGGACTCTGGTTTTAACTACGTTTGACAATATCGGATGCCCTACATCGTTTTCGAGAAGTACCTCATGCGGCTCTTTTACTCATCAAATAATTTAGACTGGTTTGCATGTTTCAGGATTCAGTTCCTGCCGGATCATATAATGATCCATTCTTGTCTAGTGTGATTTCCATGGTGGCTCCGACATGGTGCCATGGAGCCATTGGAGGCAACCCTTTTCAGGGTGAGTGTTGACAGACTTGAATTCTGAATTCACACATTTTAACTTAGTAATTCGTTTAAGTAGAGGGCAACAATCAGCCTTGCGGTTTATCAGCCATTTTGTGATTTCCTGCTGCTCCGGCTGTCCCAGGGACCCCAGTGATCTGATCTTTCAAGTGAAGCTGCTTCGAAATACCAGAAACTTCCTTTTATCACTGCAGCTTGCGCATTTGAAGTTCAACATGACATTCACGACAAAAGGCAACAGGCATGTCCTTTTCCTGCAGGTGTGGTCTCTTTGGTTTTTGGTGAGGTGAAACATATTGTGCATCTAATTCGTTGGAACTTGGAAGCTGTTTTATGCCATTGTGGCACGACTTGACCACGGTCCCGGTGCAGGGAATAATCGCACGATTTTGTAGGCAGTTAGGGACTGAATCCTGTATGTGGAGAAAATTTTACAATTGTTAACTTTTGTTTTGATCTACTGACGCGATGCATCCGTGGACCACTCCGCCAACATCATGGCCTGTTCCACCGCAGCCTACGAACGCACCTTCGACGTGGCCGCAATCATCGCAGAACGTACATCTATTTGGACATCCTTCGGCCTTGCATCCTACATGGTCTTCTTCAGCTTCGATCATGCCGTCTACATCATCCCCCACATCGTTGCCGTTTACCTCATTGTCTCCGGCTCCTCATGCAGTACCAGGTCCACAGCTCGTACCCACCATGCCTGCGTCTTTGGCCTCCGAACCCACGATGGCGCACACCGCTCCTTCGACTTTCCCATCTCCTTCGGCACCCACCGCTCCACCTGCCTGGCCTTCTCCTCCGACTTCATCTCCTACGTCGACTCCACCACCTACATCGACTATGCCACCGACACCTTTGCCAAGTTCTCCTTACCCACCCCATCACATTCAACCTCCATTACAAACGGACGCATTGATGGTCTCTCCAGATACACCTCCTCCACGGCCTCCTGCAGTTAAGGCAGCTCCCAGGCCTCGCTCTGACAAAAGAATGGATCGACCGCGCAGGCCAGCTTCAAAAGCCCCTCCTTCGACTACACCACCAGCACCCACGGCAGCACCTACGTCATCCGTGCCACCCGAACTGGTCGCATTGGGTTCCACTACACAGCAACTTGCGGAATCGGTTCGACTTATTCAAGCTCAGCAACAGGTGATCATGGATACTCAACGAGCCCAAGAACAACGTCAGCTACTTCTCCAACAAGACGGACCTCCACCGAACCCTATTCCACAAATACCACAACCTACCCCCGTGCCACCACTGTCAGCCACACCTCCACCCGCACCGAAAGCCAGACCTACCGAACCTGACGTTCCGGACCTTCGCATTGTTCAAGCCCCAGCCATTGCTCCTCCTCACCAACTACCAGTTCCATCATCCCCAACACGCCGACCAAGATCTAGGACTCCACGACCACGTTCCCATCGACCTTCTGTACATTCTCATCGCCACCGCTATTCTCCTCCACGTGCAGAGCGACCTCGTTCTCCTCTCCCTCGTCATCGATCATCCACGAAACCCGACAAGGGCCGCAGAACCCCATCTCCATACAGACGACGCTCCCCACCACGACGCCGCTCTCCCGTGGTTCCTCGACGTCATCGATCTCGCCCACGTCCACGTTCCGCGACACCACGTCACCGATCCAGAGGCCGTGAAGTCATACTTCGACCAGCTGCGAACCCATCGAATCCAAACTACATCCCCACTCCCGATGCTGATGACACCTGGGGTACATGGAACGACAGTCACTACACCGACAACTACCATCACCACAATACTCGACCCAATTCTCCTGCCGATCCACCACCAACGGAACCACCAACCAACCCACCAACCCACACTTCAGCACCACTCGGCGCGGTGTCCTTCCGAGTTCCTTCGCTATGTGGACAACAGACTGTGCTTGTCGGACCCCAGCTGGGACTACGAAATTTGCTTCGCCAATTTCCTCCACCCGGAGTTCTACGGCCATCCTATCATTTTGGAAACGGAACCGGACCAGGAGTTCTTGGGCTTTTGTATCGAGTTCGAGCCCTTTGCCCTTCGCTACAGCCCTCCACGCGACTTCAACCAGGTCATGGCGCCATTCTCCGCATCACCTTTGGCCGTCCAACTTTCAGGCTTTGTTTCACGATTATTTCTGGTCGCCAAATGCGCGCACCCTGCACATGAACGAACACGAGGTTTTGCCGCATTGCACCGTTTGTACAGATCTGCAGGTTTTACCGAGTCCGATCTTTTCGCTGCCGCCAAGCCGATTCGTCAATACTTGCACGTTTCCTCATTGTGGTAAAATCCTGAACCGTCTTGCCGCGTGCGCTTACGTTTCATTACTCACACCTTGCTGAACGTTTCACCTATTTGGACCTTATTAGAATTTATTTGATTTCGGAATTGTGCTTTTCCAGCTGGCTTACCCTCAAACTCGGCTTCATTTACTTGTTGACCCATATTCGACGCATTGTCATGGCTTCCTCGCCTCCTACGACGTCAATTCCGATTCAAGAACCAGTGTTTCTTCAATTTCTTCATGATGTTCACCATGCTTACCTTCTACTACATCGAGCAATGGCGCTACTACCACCCACACTCATTCCCAACATCGAACCTACTCCTCTTCCCAGTACAGATGTATGGAATCAACCTGATGGGCTACGACCACATTATTCGGACCAGACCAACGCCTTCATTGACAATGCCCCCATCCCATCGCCGGATATGGCGGAGGAAGAGACACTTATGGATGAACTGGTGGAAACCCATCTCCCTGAGCCACACCAACATGTTGCTGCCCCGCCTCCTGATGTTTTACCTGCACCTTCGAAGCTTTCTACCAGAACACCATCACCGCCGAATCGCAAACAGAAAGCCAAATCTGCTCCAAAGGCGCCTGCCAAGCGTCGTCGCCGACGTGACCAATCCCGATCCCGCTCCTCGAGCCCACTGTCACTCTGGACCTCCGAAGACAAACAGAAACTACGCACTCTGAAGGCTGACGAGAAGTCTCGATTTTCATGGAAGGTGATCTCGACCAAGATGGGCAAGTCTGAGGAAGATGTTCGTTCTATGTGGAATAAGATCAAGGACAAACTTGGCTGACCAACGACATATGCGAACCAAACAAAAAAGGCAGTTTGCGGCACGGTATTACGGCTTCACCAACCAGTTGGCTTCCTTTTGGGATTTTTTTCTCCTTGTTAATCTTCAGAACCATGGGCGCTGTTGCACCATTGATTTTTGACACGTCGTATCACACAACCCGCCAGCCATTTATTATGTCTCTCCGCATTCACCTGGACCGCTATTGCCAACTGCGAGCTATGTCCCACGAGAGGATCTCACCTACACGACGCTCACGCTCTCCAACCAGGACGTCGTCTTCCGCTATGGGCTCTTCGTCATTTCAGCACCCACCCAACCGGTCTTCGCCTCCGACACCTCACCGACCGGTTATTTTCCAGTTGGACCTGAAGCCGATGCAACAACTGGCCGTACGCAACCCTTATTACAACATCTTGACCCCCAAGGTCGCGGGCAACCTTTCTACGGCCACCTATGATAGCCTGTTCCAGACGTTCAAGGTGATCTACCCGGACTATGCTCGCAGTCATTTCGTTTCAGACCTCAAAACCGTAGTTACCGACACGTTGCTACAACGCTGGTCAATACACCTACCAGCGTCAGAGTTCTACATGATGATTGACACCAACCAAGGAGCTCAGATGCTTGACGACCTTCCTCATTCTCTTCTGGATGTTTTGAACTGGTTCTACCCGAGATGGAAAACTCATCAACATCTCGATGCCTTCACGACTCGTGAGTGTTCACCGTTGCTGCTGACACCCCATCCGGATGCACAAGACACAGGCTTTGCTGTACATGTTCAAGTGATTCCCCGTGGGCATCCATTCGTCACGGCCAC